AAAGTATGTTTTAAGTGTATGTTAAATTATATCAAAGTGTGTTCTTAATGTTATAAAGACACTAAAGTTCCTACAGAAAACCTTCGATACTTCAGTTGAAATAACGAAGTGGTTACAAAAGAAGTTAAACTTTGGAATAATCTACTAAACATTAACATTCTTATTTTCCAGGACTGAACTTTTATCAGTTTAGAGTTAATCTGTAATTAAACTTTGCGAAATGCAATTCCAAAGAACCTATCCAATTCCAGATAATATCAGAAAACTGTTCGTTCTAGAGTTTATTCTTTATCCTGAGAATTGTAAGCTCTTAAGCTCGTTCTTTACTCACACCACTCAGTGAGTTTTGTCTTCTATTGATTAATACTTGTATAAACAAATCACTTCATCTGTTTATTGCACATGCGCACAAAGATAGATACTTGAGTTTTTACTATAGCTTTGCTGTGTAAAAGAAGAAAGGAAGAAGAAAAAAAAAAAGACCATCGTTATTCACCCCTGGATTACCCTCCTAACAGAGTAATATGTTCAAAGTTGTAAAATACTTGAACCTAAGCAACCCCTCCGAATGCGAGGGAAAGACACCGTCTATTAATCTCCTAGCAACTAGTTTCTAACTTAAATGTGCAGGCGTTTTGGATTTTTTTTTAGTGTTCTGCTCATTATTAAAGACAAATTATAAAATGACCATTAATTAGAGACTCTAGAATTTTTTCGAAGGTGAGACGTAATTATTCCTTTTTTTTTTTCTATTGCAAAAACGAAAGACAACCAGATCTCGGGAATTCTCTTCTTTTGTTGAGATTACTCAGTTCCAAAAAGCAACCTTCAGTTCTAAAATAAACATGCTGCATCGTACACGAATTGGTTGTACTTAATTACATATAAAAACAAACTTCAATTTGGCAATTATTAATAATACCTACTAATCAATGACGATATCAAAAATATATTGCCCGGCATGGCCAGGTGGATAAGGCGCTCGACTCGCAATCTAAGGGTCGCAGGTTCGAATCCCCATCCCACCAAAAATGCTCGCCCTTTCAGCCGTGGGGGCGTTATAAGGTGACGGTCAATCCCACTATTCGTTGGTAAAAGAGTAGCCCAAGAGTTGGCGGTGGGTGGTGATGACTAGCTGCCTTCCCTCTAGTCTTACACTGCTAAATTAGGGACGGCTAGCGCAGATAGCCCTCGTGTAGCTTTGCGCGAAATTCAAAAACAAACAAACATCAAAAATATATACAAAACTGGTATTATATAGCCATACTCATAGCAGTGCAGCTGTTTAAACTGTAAACAGAAACAGATTTCTTATTAAACAACGCAAGTCAGGTTAATTAAGTTTATAAGCAACCTAACAGTTGTATAATAATTTTTAATTACTGCAGAATCTAGACTTAAAATAAGAGCATGTGAACGAACCACATTTGTCTAAAGTCCCGTGTTGTCCAGTTAGCGCACACGACATGTTAGTGAAGCAGCCTGACAGTTGGCGATCCTGTCTAAGCTACTGCTGATTACACGGCAGCCTGAAGGGTGATGTATAGGAATTACTTGTGAAACTTCCTCAAAACGAAGCGACTTAATTAGCAGACTGTAAAAACGTTCCTGTTCAAGAACGCAAGCATCCCGAGGTTATCATAAAAGCCTCAAACTGTTCGACACTACAGACGTTGTCCAGTAAATTAAACATTGGCAATCTCGACTTATTTCTTAATTAATGAATAGTTTAAAATAGACTAAAGGTCGATAAGGTCATAATAAAATTCATTTGGAGACACGCGTGTAAAAAACACGTTTGTACTTCGTTAAACAATGCTATAGGAAAAAACAGACGTTCGTTTCCGTGTGTACAGGTCAGATGTGAAACGTCCGTTTCCGTGTATTCTGTGAGTGATAAATATCATTATTTATACGTTATACATTTTCCAAAAGTGTCTTTCACATATCAGGTAAAGCGCCACTTATCAAACATAATGCAAGGGGGCACTTGCCCCCCCCCGGAAAATGAGAAACGTAATTCTTTCTTTATTCATTCAGCTTATGCATATGAATTTACAAGTTTTTTTTAATTCACTTCACAATTTCCAACTATTTTGCCCCCCCCCCTGAATATTTTTTTTTTGGACGCCCATGATTTCACCCCGTGCAATAAATCTACTTACACTTTATAATGATAAAATGTACGATCGATACTTAATTCTACGCA